GTTTAATATCAATTAACTGAGAGTGGGTTTCTGGTGAAGTCTTCAATCAAATACCTAGCAAAGAGGTTCAGTAAAAAGTATGAGCCGATACCTACAGGCAAAATGAAAGCAGTGAGAGGTGGAAGTTGGTCTGAATATTTATCAATCCACTGCTCCAGCTCCAGCACTGGCTTTTCACTAAATGATGTCCGTTCTATAGAGGGAAAGAGGAAACAACTAAAATAATACAAAAATAAATCAGTCCACCAGATGGATCTTGCATTTTACATTTGTCATATTAAGTACTCCTTAGAGAAATGTAAAAAATTTACACTTGTCTCCCACAGATTCCATCTTCTACAGCAAACACTAACAGAAGTACACAAGTAGTATCGCTAAATAAACAACCTGATCTACAACGAGGGCATTTTTTAAAAATTCAGAGCTGTTATCTTAGGTAAAATGATTTGAGGATTACTTAAGTGAGCCTCCCTGGCTGAGGAGAGAGGAGTTGCAATGTTGGAGCCAACGTCCTGCAGCATACATTGGACCTAGAGGTAGTGAAAAATGAAAGTATGCGTTACAGTCAAAGCATAGACAATGAAATGACACTTGCAGAGATGACATCTGACACTCCAATAAGACATTCTAGAGGCAGTGTGGTAGGGATTCTCAGATACGGTGACCAGGCAGCAAGTGTGAAAAATCGGGACGGGGCTGGGGGGTAAGAAGTCTATATAAGAAAAAGACCCAAAAAATCAGGACTGTCCCTATAAAATCAGGACATCTGGTCACCCTATTCTCAGAGCCTTTAATCAGGTGATATTGACCACTTCTGCAGTGTGAAGCTAATTAGGAAATGCCAAATGTACCCTCAGTGTGAGCTGTTTTCCACTGTGATACACAGTCCTGCTTACCTCAGGCAGCTTGGCTTAGTATTTATGTTCTCTTGGTTTCAATTTGAAAATGCATAACAACAAGGCTTAGGCTGTGCCCAAGATTGTGCATAATAATGAATATGAACCATCTCAATGACACGCACACACACACATTCAACTGATTTCCTTTTCTGTATAGAGAGAAAGAAGCATCTTGTTTCTTCAGGTAACAAAGAGATTTTCAAGTCTGCCTAAAGGATTTATGCAGAATTCCCACTGACTGCAATGGGACCTACAAGCCTAAATCTCCTAGGTGGCTTTAAAATTTTAGACAAGAGTTTAAGATCTCAGCATTCTAATAATACAGATGTAATGGTCATGTTAGACAGAGCATGTAGTTACTACTCACTTTGTGAAGTTGTTCGACAAATGTGTGGCCACTTTCCTGGCTTAATTCACTAGCAACCCTAGATTAAGATGAAGCAGAGAGTTAGCGCTAGGACAGAGGAGACTTGTTTGGCACATATCTTATATTTATGGCTCATTGTACACTCAGTATTACATGCACAGGTTCACAAGGAGCATTGTCTTGCAACATGGAACAAAATAGGACTCCCAACACCTAAAAAGAAAACACCAATTCAAAAACATATCTGCATGACCATCCGCTGCTTTCTGAATTGTGTCCATATAAATCAGAGGTACAAATGCAGTACGTTTCTTCCTGTATTCAGGAACTGCAGAGGACGGACACAGCTGATCCACTAGCAAGTTTTGATTGATCAAGAAGCAAATTCTCTTCTTCAAAGAGAGAGATCAAACTGAATGAATATTATGGTTGGGCACACTTTTTTTCTTACAAAACAATTAAATGGACATTAAATGCCCTTGGCTAGTTCAGTTGCCAGTGTAGCTCAGGATGTATTTACAACTTCCCCTACGGGCTGACAATAATTCTACTTTTGCCCTTTCTTTAAAAGAAAACAACTCCTCCAAATAACACCAAGAATAAACAGCGTGCACACTCCCATCAGAACATACTTCTCAAGCTTTGCTGCATCTTTACAGCAGTAGATGGGCTTGTAGGCCTTGTTCTATGTCTGCAGTGTTCATGACTGTCAGGTATCAGCTTATCAAGGTAAATAAAGACGACAAGCTTTTTGGCACGGTGTCTTCATATAAGAGCTTTAGCAATACCACAGTAAACAAAAATCAAAGATGAAAGAATTCACAGTTTTGTTACCCAATAGCAGAACTCAATTCATCTGTTGTTCCCAAAGCTTCAAAGACCTGATCATCTTTAGATCGCCTCTCCCCAGTGTATGTGCTGGAAAACCCTTTAAAAACAAGCAATAGCAACAAGAGGAAAAGGGATTGGAACAGACAAAGCTGCAAATTTTAAAATATGAAAACTCACTGCAGTCTATGCTAGGTTGACACCCAGGTAGCAGCAGCTTTAGATTTATAAGACCCTAAATCTCAAGGGCCTCCACCACTGAACAGCTGATTGCTTCTGTGACACAACAAGTGATGGACCCCCCACCCAACATCAGTTTCTTTTTGTCTGGCGATGGTGTCACAGACCAACACAGCAACATGCCAAAGACTTTTTCCAGCTAACCCATGGCCCTATGTGTTACTTTAAGTAAGACTCCGTATCCCCCCCCCTCTCCTTCCAAATGTAGGAACAG